GTGTTTTGGATTTTGTACGTGTTTTGGAGTTTGTGCGTGCTATTTGGAATTTGTAAGTGTCTTGGAGTTTGTACATGCTTTGTCTTTATGGGCCACTGTAGTGGTGAGGGTGAAGAGGGAGAGGACCGTCCCCTGTGGTGCCCCTGTGTTGCTGATTACCTTGTCAGACACACACTGTGGAAGACGCATATTGTGGTCTTCCTGTCAGGTAATCAACAATCCAGGACACCAGAGAATTGTTGATTATATTTGACTAATCTCTGAGAAGTCCAGTTTCCTGCTTCAAATTTGGGTATATTTGTCTTATTTGTCTAATAAATGCCTAAATAAAAAAATAGAATTCTTAGTTTTTCTAAAACATTTCTTTTCTTGTTTTCACAAAGTCATCAACTTAAAAAAATTTCCTTTCACTTTTACAGTTATCCTTCTGTCACTCGTCTCCACCCACTCCACCTTGCCTCTCTTGTTCACCGTGTGCTGCCTTGGATAGTGATGGCTGACACCAGGTATTTAAACTCATCTACCTTTGCTACCTCTGCTTCTTGTGACTTGTTAACTGACAGATGAAATGAAGCAGTGTAAGGCAGTGTAGTGCTTCCACTGTGAAAATGGGACGTCTCCTTTCTAAAGAGTTTGTTATATAAATAAATGTAGTCAAACACATGTGCGAGATGAAGGACGCAGAAACATCAGTTAGAGTGAAATTTTTATTACGGTCTGTGTTGTACACAAAATTAATTCAAGTGTGTGCAAATGTTTTGGTGCCATTCAAAATTCTGCTTTGCACTGGAATAAACATTTAATCATCCAACTGGCACAGGAGTGCGGAGGCTTTGGATATCCAGTAGTCGCTGTGTCGCTGGGAGGGAAGCATTACTGTCACCACAAAATTAGTTGAGTGACCTGAAGGGAGAGAGACATGAAGGGTGAGGAAACAATCTGAGCAAACATCCTTTTTTCTTTTTTTGACATTATATGTTGGTAACAGGGACGTGCGCTGTATCCCACCAAAACTCCCAGCAATGCCCAAAAACGAACTCTTGGCCTTATGATAGTATAAAATGTGTCATGACTTTAAATGTAAAAAGGTTTCCAGTGAGTGACTTTGGATACATCAGGTGTGTACCTGTGGTGGACAGAGTGCCAGCTCTGGCTGAGGTCTTGTACAGAGGAGCGTGGTAGAGGTCGGGCTCTGGGATGTAGTTCTGCTGTGGCTCAAAGTGCACCACCGGCAGCATGGCGTTCATAACCCGAGGCAGCGCATCATCAATCACCATGCCGACATCATCCCAGCGACAGGCATCCATGAACATGCCGTGAACAAGTACACCGTCCTGTGGCTCAGGTAACTGTTTTAACAAGTAACCATATTAAAGGAATTACCTTTTTACTGACAAACTCTTGAAACAAAGTAAATACAAAGACTTTCTTTTTGCAGGTTGTGCCTTTTCAGAAAAAATGGTGGTTTCTATACCTGCAAAGGCAGAAAAGAAAACAAAGAACATGTGGCTTTGCTTTGATCAGATGTATCCAGAGCTTTTTATTCTTTAAGGATTTCATTTTCATGAACAGAGATTTAAAGAAGAGTTGGCAAGATGTTTGCTGGGGTTGATATTCACTATTTATGACGCTTAGGAGGCAATATCTCATCAGGAAATAAACTCAGTATTTAAAAAAAGAAAACAATACTGGTGGCTGTACCGCCCTCCAGATTCACACCAGAGTCAAGTATAACACAACCTTACTAAAGAAATCAGTATGTAGTCCAATCAAAAATAATGGATAACAGATTTAATTTGATCATTTAGGATACATTTGCTCTGTGGTGCTAACTTTGAGATCAGATTTAGAGATTCAGGATAAAGTAATGTCACAAAAACATTAATCAATGAATACAAGAATTAGAGACATATATCAAATAGGTCATCATCTCAGCTTCCTACAACTTTCTAATTCACATTTTACATTGACCATTTCAAATGCTTGCCTAAAAACAAAACAAGCTAGAGGTCATATTAACGGTTAAAGGATTTATCTTCAGCCCGCTAGGTTTGTTTTGCTTCCAAGGACTAACTGAAATCATGCAAACACAAACACAATTTAAAAACATAATTGATAACACAACTGATTTTGTGTGAAAATGTAAGAAGTTTGAATAAAATATTGCACATAAAAACCAAACTGATGCAGTATTTTAGATTGCATCTTGAGATTGTTGATCTGCTCTTCCACATTAGCTCTCCTGCTATTAGCCAGAAAAATAGCATCTTAAAGTACTGCTAATATTTGAAGGGCTGGAGAAAAGAATATTTGTGCCCTTTTTTTAAAGCACTACTGAAAGCATAACTAAGAGTACTGCTCCTCTTACAGTACCTCCTCATCCATGTTCAGTTTTGCACCAATGGGAAGAGTGCGTAGAGCCTCACAGACTGCTTCCTCATCCCTGTACGCCGGCACCACGCTGAAGCGGAAATTAAGCTCCTCAATAGGCAGACTGTAACGCCGGGCATGATTCTGCAACACTCCTACAGGCCATCAAACACACAAGAGCATTGAAACAAGTCACTGTGCTGTTTAGCTAAATCTACCAATAAACACACATTTAATTAATAGCTCTCTTTTAAACTTAATTCATTTATTTTTACACTGTATACTTGAAAGAGTAGTCAGAGTGATCATTGTAACCCTCAAGCTCAGCTCTAAAAGTTTGCCTTACTGTTAGTGTTCATTAAAAAACAGCATGTTTCAGTGTGTTACCAGTAAGAAAGCCTTGAGGGAAGAAGAACCCGGAGATCCAAAGTGATTTGGGCTGACCACGTGTGATCCAAGTCTTGCAAGAGAGGAAAAGAGAAGCAGAGATGCAATTAAAATATATGTATCTTTAAATAACAATTTCTTTATGCAGTATCTTCTTCTTTTATTCGATATATTGCATTACAGGCATCCTATTACTGACGGGACCTGAAGTGACCCAGTGAATCAGTTTACATTGGATTCTGTTTCCTAAGATAATCAGCATGTGGAGTGTGACTCAGTGTTTATCCACTGCTGTATAAACTAATAGGACTTTACCCCGTTTGTGCTTGTTTAAGTGAATTATAGTGACTGTACGATACACATGTTCAGAGCAGACTTAAGGAAGAGCAGCTTCAATCAGGGGAAATCAGAATCAGAATCAGAATGGGGTTTATTGCCAGATGTTGAGGTTTACAACATTAGGAAATTGCTGCGGTGCTTCAGTGCAAACAATAAGAATTAAAGGCGAGAGGTTCTGGTGCGGATGGACCGGAGCCTCCTGCCTGAGGGGAGCAGGTCAAACAGACTGTGTCCAGGGTGAGAAGGGTCAGCTGAGATCCGAGCTGCACGCCGCAATGTCCTGGAGGTGTACAGGTCCTGCAGAGATGGGAGTCTGCAGCCAATCACCTTCTCAGCAGAGCGCACAACACGCTGCAGTCTCTGTTTGTCCCTGATAGTGGCTCCAGCGTACCACACACAAATGAACCAAACACTAAACCAGGATGTGCAGGAAGGTGAACTCAGAATGTACATGTGTTATTACAGTTTTCCAACCTAATGAGATAACACACAAATCAAATGTGTGCAAAAGCACATATGCATGCGCACAGACACACACACACACACACACACACATGCACACATGCACACACTCGAACCAATAAAATACAGCCAATATGCCAGACCTGAGCTAGAAAAAGACTTCTATTCTAATCCAATTTCCCCACATAATTTATGTTCGCTTTATAAAGACACATTTCACACAAACTTCTATAATTCCACTGGACTGAACTTGAAAACATGTGTGTTTTTGTTAATATCTGTGTGCAAACCTGGATAAAGGAAGTCCTGAGAGTCAAGTCTCTGACCCAAGAAGACAGCGGTTTGAGGGAAGGGTAGGCAGAGTTCGCCCAGTGGGCGGGAACCTGGTTGTTCAGAAAGCTTGTGTCGATTCGGTCCATTTCCTCTGACATCACAACGAGACCTGCTATTGCCTTTTGCAGAGTGATAAGAGACATCTACGAAAAAGAAAGTGAGAATAACACATCACAGTAACGACAGATTCCTAAAAATGTTATTTCTGAAACTACACAGAACGCATATTTTTGATTGTTTAGGTTTTTTTCTTTTTGAATTTTCCTCTAAGATCACGTAAATAAACTACAATCCAAAGAAAACAACTCCTGAAGTGGTCATGAGATGATCTCCACCAATTAAAGGTGTGTGGTTTTTACGTCACCCTGAGAACTTTAAGCAAGTTGTTGAATCGGTCTGCTTCTTGGCCCAAAACAGTTGTGAGGGAGTTCAGGTGCCCATTGGTGTCTTTGATAAACAGTGTGTCAGTTGCTTCTTCCATGTCCAGTCGCTCTGCACTCCAAAAGAAAGACAAGTTCACAGAGAGATAAAAGACAACACAAACCAATGAAACATGGGGAAAAAGAGTGAGCGCAATAATGCAAAGTCTCAGCAGTAACTGAGATCGATGTGCAGGTGAATCCATGTGGGGTCAGCGTACCGGGCAAAGACTCTGTCATCGTTACTCTTAGCTCCATGTTGTGCTGAAGAACGAGGATTAACATCCAGTATGGTATTGATCAGAGTTATAGTTTCTTGACGCTGCAGAGGCAAACACACACACACACACTCATATATTGATATTTTATCATAGCACTCCCAAAGCTCATAAACTGCATGACAAACATTAAATCACTAAAACGACCACAAGCCATTTCTCATAATTGCTGTGGACTGAAGAAATGAACAGATTTTGAAAAACTACGTATAAATAAGAACTTGCTGTCATTTATATTTAAGAGGACAACTGGCAGTCTGGTATAAAATAGAGACAGTGTCACGGCGGTGGACGGACTCAGGCGCAGACTGAGGTAGCACAGCTCAACGACACTTTATTAATCACACCGGTGCACTATATACACGTGAAGGGGGGGGAAACACCAGGGTCCCGGGGATCCGTAGGCTGGGGAGACACACTTCTTCGCACTCGCTCTGCTCCTCGTCCAAACAGTCTCCACACAAGCAGCTCAGCTCACTCTCCTACTCACGGGGTCCAGGAGTCACAAAAGGGCTGATCCAGTCAAACCTGTTACACAGACGAGGGTAAGTCGAAGGCAAAACACGGGAACAGTAGAATCGCAAGGAAGCCAGGCAATACTAACGAGAGTTATTCAATATTCCAGCGACGAATAGCTCAGAGCCCCAGCCTTAAGAGCCAGAGAACTGCAATTCGCTCGAGATCAGCTGCAGGTGCGTGGGCCAAGGGCAGGAGCCCAATCAGAGCTCCGCCCAGGCAGACAGGTAGGAGAGACAGAGCGAGAGAAAAACAACAAACACTTGTGGCCACACTGGGCTGGCCGGGGAGGCACAGGGACCATGACAGACAGAGACATTTGCTTGTAATGTCCTGGTATTGTTACAGTATTGTTCCTCACCTGAAAAGCCAAGTTGGCATTCTCATGCATACCAAAGATCTCAGGATCATCAATGATTGGAAGATTCTCAATATACTTCTTATATTGTTCAAGTTCATCTGACTCTGGAGCGTAGTAAACACCTTACAGGGAGAAAACCATTAACTGAGATATATAGCATGTGAGCGTGCACTGTGCATACGCGTGCTTACATACACATGTACACACACACATACAAAAGAGGGCAGAAAGAACAATACCTGAGGGGGAGTAGGTGTAGCCAGGCTGCAGAGCTTCTGGAGAAAAAAAGCCTTTGAGGGTCGGCAACCTGCGGCTCTTTAGTCCTTATATTGCGGCTCTGCATGGTTTGGAAAAATAAATTAGAAGTATTTAACTGAAGTTTATTGTATTTGTGCTAGTTCTTTTTTTAAAACTTGTAGTTCTAAATTGGAAGATTATTGTGATCCTGAATAATAAAGTTATATTTTATTATTTTTCGTCGCTCAAAATAAGCATCACACTCGTGGAAGCCGGTAGCTCCGCTACACTCCCAAAGCCCAGAAGGCGATATAAGGATGACGGCTCACTGTTTTTGTTTGCTACATGGATAATTTAAGTTCAGCTTTTTAATTCATTTTAAAAACACCTTCAACTGGTGTCTTTTTAGTTATTATTTTTTAAGGGTTGACAATGTGTTCATTACATAAATAAAATAAAATTTTCTCCATAGCACTTCATGGATTTCATAAGCAACACACTAGAGTTGTTTATACGAAGCATAGAGGTAAAAAAAAAACAATATACACGGTGTTAACTTCATTTTAGATGTCAAAAAGTATTGTGGCTCCCAGTGTTTCCTTTTCCGTAGAAACCCGGTCCAAATGGCTCTTTGGGTGTTTAAGGTTGCTGACCGCTGGTTTAAAGTGTCCTATTATCCTTCCCACACTTTTATTTTTATGAAACAGCTGCATGTTTAGGTTCAAGGACATGCAATCATGTTTGTTTTGTGAAAAGGCTTTCTATTAATATAAAATGTCAAAATACAAATAAGACATGAATTACATATGGGAAATAAGATGCTACACAAACAGTCCCTAACTTATTACCTTGTTGAATTTAGATACAAGAACATTTCTGTTGATATTTGCTTCCTACCAGTGATGTAGACCAGAGCATCCCAAGGGATGGTGCCATCTTTGCAGTACAGGTTGAGGTTGAGCAGAGCACATTCTCTGTCACTGTCATTGAATTCGTAGCGGATGTTCCAGCCCAGGGGACCAAACTTCTTCCGCTCCTAAACACGAGACACACAGGCAGAGAAGTACTGTACGACCACACACAAAGTAAAACACATCCAAGAAAACAAAGTAATAATGATGAGGCACTTTACATATAAAATACTGAGAAAGAGTGTAAGTAACCTGGATGATTGCATGGAAAAAGCAGATTCCAAAGACAATCTTCCTCCACTGGCGTCCCAAAATGCGGTGTTCAAAGAAACTGCTGGTGATCTCTGTGAAGGCTCGTCGCATTCTGTGCATGATGGTGATGTAGTCTCCTTGCAGGGATTTTGGGATCACGGCTTTGGAACCTTTAAGAATGATGCCATCATCCACAATCAGCTCATCCCTGAAAGGAAAATATGGATGAACCGCCGTGGGAAGGTTGTGGAGTTGTTGTGGCCAACCATGTTTGATGAACAAGCTGAGCGCTTGCAGTGTCTCATCCTCAGCTGTGTGTCCTTTAAGTTCCTCCAGGCGTGAAAAAGAGATGCAGCTCACCGTCATGACATCAAAGTTGTCCTCTTCTTCAGGCTGCTGGAAAGTGGAGCTGTCGGGAGCACAAGACAGTGTGTCAGCCAGATACATGTGTTTTCCACATTTATATGTGAGGGTGATGTTGTATTTTTGGAGCCTTAACAACATCCTCTGTAATCTGGCTGGTGCAGCGTGAATAGGTTTCTTTAGTATGGTGACCAGTGGCTGATGGTCTGTTTCTACGACCACAGGCTTGCCATAAATGTAGTCATGAAACTTTGTGAAAACAACAGCCAGCAGCTCCTTTTCTATCTGAGCATATCTGGTTTCAGTGTCTGTCAGAGCACGTGAAGCATATGCCACAGGTCGCCCTTCCTGTAAGCAAGCTGCACCAAGACCATACTGTGATGCATCGCACGTTAGTGTCACAGGTTTGCTGACATCATAATATGACAGAACAGGTGGATTAGACATGTGCTCTTTAAGTGCTTCGAACGCAGTCTGATGCTGTGTGTCCCACATCCACTCGCTGTCCTTGTGTGTGAGCTGTCGCAGAGGAGCTGACAGATGGCTGAAGTTTGGAATGAATTTTCCAAGATAATTGACCATCCCCAGGAACCTCTGCGGGGCTTGGACATCTGTTGGAACTGGCATCTCTTTGATTGCGGCTGTTTTGGAAGGGTCTGCTTTAAGCCCCTCGCTTGTGAAAATGTGTCCGACATAACTGACCTGATTCAGCCGGAATTTGCACTTTAATGGGTTTAGTCGCAGGTTTACTTCTCTGGCACGATCAAGGGCTTTTCTCAGGTTGTTGTCATGTTCTTTCATGGTTCTTCCGCCGATGAGTATATCATCAACAATGATGGCACATGGATATCCAGCGAATATCTGCTCCATGGCTCGCTGAAACACCTCGCTAGCAGCGTTAAGACCAAAAGGCATTCTGAGGAACCTGTAACGACCAAAGCAAGTGCTGAAGGTGGCTAGCATGGATGATGTCTGATCCAATGACACCTGCCAAAAAGAGTTCTTAGCATCCAAAACAGAGAACACAGTAGCATTTGACATTATTGCAGCCACTTCTTCTACTGTGCGCATGGGATGGTGTGGTCTTTTCAGAGCAGTGTTTAAATCTCGAGGATTTATGCATATCCTGATTTCATCTTTGCCCTTCTTGTTGGTGGCTACCATAGAAGACACCCAGTCTGTCGGCTCTGAGACGGGAGTAATGACGCCTAATTTCTCCATCCTGACCAGCTCTGCCTTGACCCTGTCTTTCATGGCCAAAGGGTGCGATGTGCTGGGCGAACAACTGGTTTCACATCTGGGTTCAGTGTCATGCGATAGGTGACTGGCAACCTTCCAAGCTCATCAGAAAATGAGTTGCTGTATTCTGTGATAAGCTGTTGTGACAGGTCATCTGCAGACATGCTCAATTGGTGGACGTCATTGCTGAATGATACAAGTCCCATTTCTCTGCATGCACATAGTCCAAGTATTGGCTGAACATCTTCATTAATAACAAAGAATGATAGCACATGTGGCTGCCCATGCAGAAAACACTGCAGCTTAATTACACCTGAGGTTTGAATCTTGCTGCCTCCAAATGCTACTAGGTTAACGGACTTAGGGTGTGCTTTCATTTGTTTATCTGCTCTTATAATGTTAACCGTTTTCTTGGGAAGCACATTACATTTAGCACCTGTGTCCACCTTCATCTCAACAGGAATCCCATTAATCTGCACGGTGACAAAAACTTCCTCTTTGTGTTCCGCATGCACATCAGTCGCATGGATTGCATATTGCAGATTTACTCCATCAACGTAGAATGTGTCATCTCCGCTGTCATCAGCTTGGTCTGGTTCCACATGATGAACTGACTTTCTGTGTCTTGCTACGTTTTGGGTAGGCTGAACAGCTCTGCACCGTTTCTTAAAATGATTCCACTTTTTGCATGCATGACACTGCTGCCCAAAAGCTGGACATTTACTCTTTTTTGCAGCATGAGCGCCCCCACAGTTAGTACAGTTAGTGACATGCTGTGTTTCAGACCTGTCTCCTTGTATTTTCATTTTATCTCCTCTGTGCTTTCTTGTAAATGTGGGCTGGAGCACATCAACATTTGATGCAGATTGTTGAGGAAAAGCAAGTGTTTTATTATGCTCTTCAGTCATTTCATGAATCTGGCAGACAGATATGGCTTTTGCTAGCGTTAAATCACTATCACGCAGTAGCACTTTCCTTAAATTGTCATTGTTGATGCCACAAACTAGTCTCTTATTAGTTCTTCACTCAGATCACCAAATCTGCAGCTTTTTGCTTTAATCCGTAAATCACTTACATAGGATTCAACAGTCTCGTCCTCTGATTCCACGTGTTGAACTTGTGTCTTTCCATCATGACGTTGGTTTGTGGGCTGGACATTTCTCTGAATTTCTTTTTGAGGCACTCAGGATCCTCCTTCGATTCTGCAGGAATGAGGACTCGTCCTCCATCGGCGGGCTCTCTCACTTCTGGCGCGTAAACAAAAGACCGCATTGTGCATTTCCCACAATCATGTTGTGTTATACGTTGCACTGCTTTCATTTCCATAACGTGGCACGTGCAATAGGTCAGGCCCCCGTAATTGTGTCATGTAGTTTGACAGACATGCACTCACAGTTGGGATGTTCCCACTGTCTTTATTTACATACATCTTGTGTTTCTATGGTGTATTGATAGTCATGTGCTTTTGTGCTGAGGTGTTTTTTCTGTTATCAAACTGTTCTCCCACTAGGAGCTCAGTCTGAGTGGAGTTTTTTTTCTCCTCCTCTTACCTCATGTAGTGTATTTTCGTTTTTTTCCTATCAGCCTACCTTTCTGACATGTCTGCCCAATGTGATGTTTGTGTAAAGTTGGTCAGAAGGTTCCTTTGTAAGTGTGCATGCGCCATTAGCGTGCTGCCTGCTGTAACCCTAATTTCCCTCGGGATGAATAAAGTATTCTGATTCTGATAACTGAAATCATTTTGTGTGCAGAACAAAGGTTGGAACAACAACATAAATTAAGTTCAACTATGTACATGGCGTCGTATCTACAGAAATATAATCACTGAAATAATCATGTTTGTACAAAACAAAGGTTGGGGTGCCAGCATAAATAAAGTTCAACTATGTACAGTGGCTGTCTGTGGACACGACTCAGTCCTTTTTCTGCTCCACTAGCTTTTCGAGGACGCCTATCAGCCTGTCCATCCTCTCGGCTCTACGTTCCTCCATTTGCCGTTGCTGGGCCATGTCCTCCTTTATTAGGGCAATGAGCTCATCCTCCCAGTCCCTCCTCCTTTTCACCACCCGTGCCTCAGGCGGGTCCTCATCCTCCTGTCCCTCCTGGTGTGGGAGTGGGTTGCCCACTGCTGCACTGGGTCCTGGTGCATCCTCCTGGATGGAGGAGATTAGGACAGGTGGCCTGGTGGAGGGCTTCTGTCCTAGCACCTCATCCATGGCCATGTTGCGGCAGTGGGCTTCCCACTTGCACCCTCGCCCGTCGCTGGATACTTGCACTCCTGAAGGGAGGATACATCACAGGTGGCAGTTGGCAACAACAGCAACAGTGCAGGTTTACATAGGTGACTTTTCAGTGTTCTGTGTGAAGTTACATCTGTCACTACCACTGTACATACTTTGTATTTCATCTTCAGGTTCTCCCATTTACGTTTGCACATGTATATCAGGTCATTTCGTTTATGGCATCCACAGCAGTATGTACTGGCTTGGGACCACAGGGCAGACAGTTCACTGTCCCTTGTGCCTCAATACTTGTAGACCTCATACTGTTGCTGTACCTCCAACCCACTGCGGCTGAGTGTTTCGCACCCGTGAACAGGTGCTCATTGTCACGGCGGAGTCGAATGAGGTCTGCCGTCTGCTCCTTGGTCCCTGTAATGCAGCGTGACATTGGATTACATTCCCCACCATCCTGCACTTCTGTTTTAGCATTTCTCCATTTGCCGTCAGTTCAGCATTTACAGCTGTGTGGAACATACACACAGCAATGTCAGGCAATACTACAGCACTGAGTGGGGCAGAACATTTACTTTATTAGGCCCTAGGTTGGGGTTGGGGGTTCTCTGTCATATGTTTTGTTTTAATTCAATTCAATTCAGTTTTGTTTGGATGGGGCAGACTCACAAAAGTCGCCTCAGGGTGCTTTGAAATATCCCCTTTGACGTATTTGACATGGCAGGTGTGATAACTGTAACAAATGTATGTATATGTTATATTTTATGCATTTTATATTTCATGTGCTGCGGACACAGCTACATTCCTGCCTGGTATATGTTGACATTCCTGTTTGCGGCACAGGCAGGGTCATATTAGTACAGTTGATTGCACTTGTAGTGGTGATACGTCTATTCATACTGCCCTCGGTCTGGTACAGGATTCACAGCTTTGCGGGTCTGTGCATTTACGGTTACATGGGTCGGGCAGGTGTCACATGATTCACCTTGACATTTTCTATTAACCTCCCATTAGCTTTTACATCTTGGTGTTTGTTTCGCTCCTTCACACATCTTACATTTGCGGGTGTTGCTGTCCTCCGCCGCCGTTTCAACCTCTTCCGCAGCTGCTGACATCATTATGCATTGGCCTGGCTGCGTCGCGCTATGCATTGTGGGATATATGGCACCACGAAGCGTGCACCGGACCACGCTTGATATTTGGGGAAATCGACGGCGCATTTGGAGTGCACTTCAAATTGGGACAGCCATCGTCGCGTGGCCGTGACGTGATCGCACTTGAAATGCGTACTTCAAGCGTCCATACCCTGAATTGGGACACAGCCACTGTCCAATCTGGACCAAAGAGCACACAAATGATAAGGCTCCACCCCTGAACATTTTTCAGCTGCCATATTTGACATCAGGGAGAGCGCCACCTAGTGGGAACAGGAAATGTCATGTTTTACACTTTGGGGTACAGTATTGTGATGGGTGACATCTGCAGCCTCAAATTTCTCCAGGAAAGCCTTAACGAGTTGGTCTTGGGTTACAGTGAAAACTGTGACTTTTCGTGAAAGGGTGTGACCCCAGCAGCATGGCGAACTTTGATGTCTCGCCATGAAGAAACAAATTAGTATAACTCAATGAAATCCAGTCTGATCAGAACCAGACTTTACAGGCATGATGTCAGACCCGCCCTGAACAGATTAATGTGCCCATTGTCAGGAATACACAGAGCGCCACCTAGTGGCTACAGGAAATGTCATGGCTTTAATTTTGTTGTACTGATTTTCACAGGTTCATCGTGGCCACCTCAAAAGCGGTGAATATCACCATCAGTCCCTCGTGATGCTTCAGTGCAAAAATTGTGACTTTAAACTGAACGGCGCACCCTGGTGGCAGCGCTCTTCACCATGAAAGATGAAGTGATGTTTGAGGGGCTTGGAAAGTTTCAAAAGTCTTGAAATTTGGCGCACAGCTTCAATGGGATGAAGGCTTTCTTGTTATGTTATCATTTTCCTTGAATAGCGCAAAATGGCTCCGCAGCGCCCCCTACAAAATTTCAAAACATCAGCCCCTGGTCTGTGTTTTATGTATGAGTCTGAAACCTGGTAGGCTTATAGGAAATATCAAGATGTACAAAAGTGTCTTGGAGCAATATCCCAAATCCAACAGGAAGTCAGCCATTTTAAAATTAATGTGCAATTTTGGCAACATTTTCCCCCTCGTTTCAGGCCTTGTACTTTGACGAACTCCTCGTAGTGTATTCATCAGATAGACACGATCTCCGGTGCGTAGAATCTAAAGACCTTTGTGATGTTAAATTGCGACGGCACGTGGAGTTTCAATCACTCGCCAAAAAGAAGTAATCTGCTGTCACTCAAAAACACAATGCCCAATCTCTCCGAAAACATTGCAGGCATGATAAGAGTCGAGCTCGGAAATGTTTGTTATGCCATTTGTCAGTAATGGTTAGAGCATCACCTAGTGGAACGAGTGTAATCATGATTGAATGAGATGAAATTTCAGCTATTGGTTCTACGCAGGAATTCGATCAATGTGACATCAGTTCGGACTTGCTGGTTTTAGGTGTTGGGCGTGGCTCGACCCGCCGGGGTGCGAGGGCCCTCATAACGCTGCTTGCAGCTTTAATTTTGATTTTTAAAAAGGTTGCTTTTTGTCAGAAACATACATTTCCCTGTTACTCCAAACCTTTGAGCAGTAAATGCTAAGAGGCAATAAACGGGAGACCTAAAACAGAGGTGTAGGAGAAAGAAGAACAGAACTAGCATGAGGACTGTGACTGCTAACAATCAGTGCATCCAGTCTAGTGGCATAAAAAACAAATGGTGGGTTAACACCATCACTATATACTTTTTAACCTCCTAATACCTGCACTCTTCCATGGCATGCATTTTTAATTTCTCTTCGATATTTGGGCTGATTGGGACCTGATGAATGTAAAAACAAAGAATTGCCAGGTTGTTTTTTTTTTCACCTAATTTTTGTTTCTAAGAAAAATGAGAGCCACGTATGAGGATATTCATATAAAATTTTGATAGAACAGTGGCAGCATAATGTCCTCGTAAGTGCATATCAGGCCCCTGTAGAGCAAAATTTAGTATTTTGGTCTAAATAACCAAAAATGTGATGTCCACATATGTGGACGCAGGTCCTAGGAGGTTATAAAAAAACATAGGAAATCTTTTTTATTAGTTAATTATTTTATTCATTATTGCTTTTATCGAGTTGAACTTCTATGGCTGGATTTCCCACCTCACCTTTATCAGTGAAGAAGCGCCTTTTAGGAAGCGCCACCATTCCCCATCAGAGATCTCGCCACGCTGCCTCATGATTTCTACGCACAACATAAAGCTGTAGATAAGCTTGTGTTGCTCGAAGAGTCCACGTGACACATTAATGTAGGAGTTTAGCAAGATTTGATTCAGGAGGGTCTGAAGGCGCTCTTCTAGCACAGTACTCTGCTCTGATGTCTCGATGGTGGAATTAAAGAGCTGAAGATGAAGGAAGAAATAAACAAAAAAGAGAGAAAAAAGAAAATAATTACTTTAAATGGGTACTTACACATTTTCATTAAACATTCCTGTACAAGTAGCTTTGTAAATTTGAGAGTAAAGCCCAGCTCTTTTTTCCCTCACCTGTTTAGAGTACTTGAGTGAGAACTGGTACATACGATCGATCTCCGACAGACCGGCAATGACAAATTACAAAACAGATCCTCGAGTGGCCACAGGCCTGTAGCGCTCCCTCGCAGAGTTTATCATCAGCTCAGTTGCTTCTGCCTCTTCCAGATGGTGCTTTATGGCCTCTGAAGTCACCTGGAGACAAGAGGATGCAAAAAAATCATGGAAATAAACAGGATGAACATCAGAAAAACAGGAAAGGATCATTGCAGGTAATATTAAATTCAACAACCACAACTCCATATCCATATAGCCTAATCCCTACCTTTGACTCCTGGAGAGTCTGAACTAGCGCCTCGTTGTCAAGTATATTCCCCTTCGAGGTAAAGAGAAGCTTAAGAATGCGGTCTTCAATATCTTTCAGCTGGCTGTGGTCAGCGTTGATGCGCACAATCAGCTCGTTCCTCTGTTCCTCAAGATGCGGACTCTCAGGACGCACCACATCACTTAAAACAGATTGAAAAAAGATTGAATCAAGAGATTCCAGAGGTCATTATCAGAAAGGGGGAAAAGGATACATACAATTAGGATACATAAAATTATGTGCCGTATTTCTATCCATTTTTTAAAAATGTAGATGGCTTTGTAAATGCTTGTTACTAGAGATGGCACGATACCAATTTTTTATGTCCGATACAGATTCCGATATCATAAATTTGGATATCTGCCGATACCGATATGAATCCGATAGTGTTTTTTAATCAATAAAACAGTTTTTTAATATCTTGCTGCATTTTGTATAAGTTCATACTCAAGTTTTAAAAAACAACAACACTAAAGCTATTCTGTTATACCTGTATGCAAAAAACACACTGCACCCAAAATATTTTATAGTTCAGCAACACTGATCAATCTAATAAACTTAAACCTGCAACATCCTCCCTATTCTGGTATTTTAAAGAGTCCTTAGCAGAAATATTAAACAACCAAACTAATAGGGTTGCCAACTCCTAACAAAAATCTGCCAGAACCACCCCCCACCCTCGATGCTTAATCAACGTAATCAACTTTAATTTAATGCACCTGTAAAACAAATGCATAAGTTCATAACTTCCCTTCAACTCATTCATGTCACCTAAAAGGTAAACCTGTTTCTCCATCACCTGTTCAGCTCTGATCATTCAGTAAGGACATCTCCTGGTTTCATCTACAAGTTTCCCTCTCACCACATATCCAAACCGACATCATGACCAGCAGCTTTACAGCTGTGGCTCCAGCAAACATCAGCTGATACTAGAAAGTAATATTAAATAAATTCTAACAACAGCTAATTAAGCTTAAACGTGCTGCTGTTGTTTATCCGCTGGTCTCCTCTCTCTAGCGCAAAGTGGGCGATAAACAAACAAGAAAGGCAGGATTTGTGACAGAAAAGCCGACCAGCTGATCATTGATCAGTTTCATGTTTGAAGTAGCAACAGGAGAGGGAATGAGAGAAGAACAATCAGCTTTGCAGCAAGGACAGAATAACTCCAGCTTTGTGTCTTTTTTCCATTCTAGCTTAAGTACAGGACAAATCGCTTCCTTTTCACCTCCGTATGTAACTCCGATGGCCAGTCCAGCTGTGGCTCCATATATCAGTTGTTAAGCTTAACGTGGAAATACTATGCAAACATTCAGGGATGAACTTACACACTTGCTTTACTTCTCTGGGATAGTTTTTGCCGAGATAACATGCCGCGGTTTGGAAGCATGTAGTGAGGCTCCACATGCTCCACCAGACCGCAGACATGTCTCGCAGACGACAGCCGCTCTGTCACGTGACACATACTACTTCGATGCGCCGAGCTGGGTTACGCCAAGTAGCGCGTTTTGTGAGGTGATTTTGTGATACTTTGGATCGGATT